TATTTTGAAACGGTCTGGGTCTGTAGCCTAGTCTGGAGTGCAGTGGTGTGATCTTGGCTCACTGCAACCTCTGCCTCCTGAGCTCAAGCCGTCCTTTCACCTCAGCCTCCCAAGGGCACACCATCATGCCCAGCTATTTATTCATTCATTCGTTTGTTTATTTGTAGAGACAGTGTTTCTTCGTGGTGCCCGGGCTGGTCTCGAATTCCTGAGCTCAAGCAATCTACCTGCTTTGTTCTCCCAAAGTGCTGGGATTACAGGCATAAGCCACTGTGCCAGTCCAGCATAACATTTTTGTTCGGTGAAGACATGCTCATAACATTCCAGATGATGGACATTCCTATGAAGGCTTAAATGTTGCTCACACATATTAATCACTCAATAAATATCAGTTATTATTAATTCAATGGTTTTAAAAACTAAAAATAGCTGTTTGTAAGTGTAAAATATTATAGCTAATATGAAGGCAAAATTTTCCTTCTTTTAGCTTTTCAATATTTCCCATAGACCCTGAGCAACCTGCTACATTCCATGGTGCTTTGTGAGTATTTAGGCATGAGAATGGCTCTGCAATGGATTTCAGACTCCTAGAAGACAGAGACCAGGCAAGACATTTATCTTGAAATCATTTATACTACCTCACAGTCAGTAGGCACTTAAGAAATACAGACTTCTTTTGGCAGTTGTTCAGCCTATTCTGAACCCAAAGTACCCCAGATTAAGGGATTTTAACTCCTTTGAGATTTGACAGGAGTAGTGAATTTAAGCTTTTGAGACAGCAGCAGGTGGCTGATAGTCCTGCACAAACAGGACAAAATCTTATCTTTATTTAAGGAGGGGGAAGTGAAACCTCCATTTCATCAGTGAACATTTATCTATATTTATTGTCTATTTCTAGAAAAAAATACTGCTTACCTTTTTATTAATTTATTCACTGGATTTCCCTTTCTGATTTCTTAAGCTTAAATCTAAATAAAGCAACCTATAAAATCTAAGGTCAGATTACATACTAGAAAAGTCACCTACTCTAGAGTCCTGAAGCTGGGATCCAGGGATAGACATTCACAAATGAGATTATCAGAGGCAAATACAGTGAAACTCCATGTAAAATTTTGTGGGCTTTTTTTATAAGTACATTTTTCCACAACAGGGAGAGGGACTATAGCAATTGTGAGGTTCTTAAAACAGCCTGTGATATTAAAAATATTGTCCATTGTTTTTCAAATCTATCACACTATGAATGACATTCTGGGAAACATTCCATTTTCTTATTAAATGACCTTGTACAACAGGTCCTATTTTAGTGTCACCCCAAAATCTACAGACAGGAAGTTCTTTCTTAAGTCTACCCTAATCTGTCGGCAACTCCTCCCCATGGAAGTCCTTAGTAAATTCTGTGGAAATAGCAAACAGCTGCTCACCAACACCCACCCCAAAGAAAGAACAAGACATTTCTCACATCTCTCAAGCTGCCTTAAATGTTCTTTCTTTGGCAAAGAAGAAAAAAAGAAGTATATTTTTGGCCTCTAAACCTTTTCCCACCCGTGTGTATTTCTGCAAAAATGTTATCCATATGGTTTTGATTGCATTCTCCATAAGTCATTAGAAATGCTTTGCACTGAGAACTTTTCTGATGACCAAGGAGTCTTTGGAGACATTTTAAAATGGCCCTCTTAGCCTTTCTTCATAGAAACAGGAAAGCTAAACAGAGCCAAATGCAAATGAACTAAGACCTGGAAAGTTTGGAGTTTTATTCAAAACTCAGAAACCATAAGGTTTAAGTGTGCCTTAAATCTGTCCATGCAAAGTCATCACCTCCTTCTCCAGGGACAAGATATACTAAATCATCCATTGGCGCAGATAATGCAATGGCTTCAGACATTGAAGTTGATATTTAGGATTGGGTTCAGTGACCCCATAAAATTCCAAGAACTTCCAATCATCCCAGGGCTTCCTCATTCCCAGAGGGTAAAGATTTTGGACTTGGACTTGGGTGTGGAATTTCTCACTCCATCACCTACTAGCTATATTTTGGCATGCTACTCAAGTTTTTCAAGGTACAATTTCCTATCACATAAAGATAGGGTAGTATTATCTATCTTATACTGCAAAGAATTTTCAGAATTGTAAGTAATAATATTCAGAATATTGCACATAAGATGCTTGGTGCACGGTCAAAGTTCAAAAATTATCTTTCCTCTTTCTCTCTGTGTATAGTAGATGGAACTAGGAAGAGTTCTTTGTTTCTTTAGGGAAATATTGATGGTGTGGGTGAGGAAGACAAAGACTGGACAGTGTTTCAAAGCATTAAGTCCCCTCTTTCTAAGGCATGTAGACCACAGCCCATCTTGGGAAACTGATTACAAAGAAAGGGTTACGAAGAATGAGTCAGGCCCTTTTGTGGCCATCACTGAAGCAGGAGCAGCCAAAATGAAATTCAATCCTGTTGTAACTTCCCACCAAAGCAAGAACCAAAAAATGTGTTTCAATGCACCTTCCCATATTTGCAGGAAGATTATATCTTCCACTCTTTCCAAAGAGCTGAGACAGAAGTACAATGTGCGATCCATGCCCATGTGAAAGGATGATGAAGTTCAGGTTGTATGAGGACGCTATAAAGGTCTACAAATTGGCAAAGTAGTCCAGGTTTATAGGAAGAAATATGTTATCTACATTGAATGGGTGCAGAGCAAAAAGGCTAATGGCACAACTGTCCACGCAGGCATTCACCCCAGCAAGGTGCCTATCACTGGACTAAAACTGGACAAAGACTGCAAAAAGATCCTTGAATGGAAAGCCAAATCTCACCAAGTAGTTATAGAAAAGGGCAAATACAAGAAAGAAACAATTGAGAACGTGAAGGAATAAAGTAATCTTATATACAAGCTTTGATTAAAACTTGAAATGAGGAAAAGAAAAGTTGAAGAAGAAAGAAAAGAAGAAGAAGAGAAGAAGAAGAGGAGGAGGAGGAAGAGGAGGAGGAGAAGGAGGGGGAGGAGGAGGAGGAGGAGGAGGAGAAGGAGGAATAGGAATCAGTCACAACTTTGGTCTTCATCAGAAGTTGCCTGACTACCATGTCTCAGATTGATTTCAGAACTGCATTATCAGCAGGGCTGCTGTTGCCTACTAACGGTCATGGAAGCAGATCTCAGCTGGGGGATGACGGGGAGACAAATAGAAAGATAGACACAAATAAAGGAAGAAATGGGGTACAAGGAGACAGAAAGAGGGAGAAAAAAGAAAGAGCAGGGATAGGCAAGAGATAGTGATCTGGTGTTTCATACTGCGGTGGATGGAGAAGCAGTGTGTGTGGTGGGCGTATTTCTTTGTGGTCAGAACCAAATTCAGAACTACCTGGGGAACCTGTTGCAAGACCTGAACCTGGGCCAGAAGCCAAGGGAAAGAGAAAGTTGCCCAAACAAAAAGGGAGAAGTTTCCACCCGTCAGAAAGAGAAATCTCTAGGTTGGTCCGTGGCTGGAGAGCTGTCCGTGGTGCTGACTCCTCCTCATTTGGATTCCAGTGGAGACTTGGAGGAGCTCTGCACCATCTGCTGCTCCTCTCTTTCCTCTCGTCTCAGTCCTGACCTCCTGAGACCCAGGATAATTCCTGCTAGCTCTATGTCTTCCCCTCTCTTTCTCCATTCCTCTTTGTCTATTAAATAATTTTTCTCAGGTTCCCAGTTCATCACTCAAACACTTCTATTTTGTTTCAAGACTCCTTCCAATTAGTTTAGTGGCTCCTAGATTGTTCTAGGCCTCCCTGGTGATCACATCTCCCTCCTATCATCCTTTGAATTAATAAACAAACAAACAAACAAAAAAAACATACAGTGGCAATCATAAAAGCAGACAGCATTCACTGAGCACTCACTAGGTGTCAGGGAGCAGTCTGAGTGCCTTTGCATACATTAACTCTTGTGCAGTCTAAGTGCCTTTGCAAACATTAACTGATTACAATTCCACATCAACCCTGTTAGATAGGTAGATATATTGTTATTCTATTAAACAGACAAGGAATTGAGGCTTAAGGGGTAAGTATTTTGGCCAAGACCACACAGTCACAGGACTCCAACCTCTCTCTAGCCTGCACGTCTACTGAATCTGGCTCTTTATATTTTCCATCATCTTTTCCTATGCCTTCCTGCCCTTCCGTGTGGTCACTTTAATGCTTTCTATTCTTGCCTCATTTTCAAGGGACTAGGACTCTGCATTGCTGATTTGGCTTAATCAGAAGGGAAGCAAAGTAAACAAACATACAGAATGTGCACTGTGTGGGAATTTAGATCATACGAGGGCTTTATTTTCCGCTTCAGGGAGAGGCCCCATGTTAGGGACCTCTCAGGCTGATTGCGGAGTCTTTTGGTTTTTATTTTCATGTCTCAGTCCCTGTACCCTCACCCCTTCTCCGCCTCTGGTGGTCTCCAGAGAACTTCGCGTCCCCTCAGCTTCTCACTCCTACATCCTGCCTACGTAGAGAAGCTCTTGCTTCATTCTGGGAGGTTATGTGGGCTCTCGCCTACACACCAAGAGAAACAAACAGTGCCAAACACTCACAGAGAGACGCGCAGACACAAGCGGACCCACATGGGCACCTCCCGAGACAAAACCCGCATTCGATGGATACACGCGGCCATGGGAACACCCCGGGCCCCAGAAACACTCAGGTACTCGTGGCGCACACAGTACAGTCACGCTCAAGAGCGCCAGGATCCTGGGGTTGCGCAGATACACGGTCCCTTCGGATGCTCGTGCACATAGACACAACACCCGACACCCCCAGACCCACGAAACTCCCCACAGTTCAGCCCCCAGCCCCCTCCTGCCCCCCCTCCAGGCGGCCTTCCGACTCTCCTCCTCTCGCTTCTCCTCCTCCTCCGCCTAAAGATGTACAAAACACTCCTCTGAAGCAAGCCTGCGCTCGGCTCCTCCCTCCCCGCCCCCCGGCCTCTGCTCCCCCATTCATTTTCGGCAGTCGCCGGCTAAGTCCCTCCCCCCGCATAGCCCGGCCTCCGCTGCTCCCCGCCGGAGACCGCGGCGCACTTGGACTTCCCTCTCCATTCGCCAGCCGCCGCGCTCCCGGTCCCCACGGCTGCAAACTGATCCGGCGCGGGGGGAGGAGGAGAGCGCAGGCGAGCGAACCCGCGAGAGAGGGAGAGAGCGAGCAAGAGCGAGCCAGAGCGAGGAGAGCGCCAGAGCCAGGAGGCAGAGGGAGTGGGGAGCGCCTTCCGGAGCCGGGATTCATGCCTGTCCTCGGGACCAGCGAAGGGGACTTGACGGCTGAGTATGAGCCAGGCTGCTAGGAGCCAGGTACCCCCACGCCTGCAGTCCCCGCGCCGTCCCCGGAATGCGAGCTGGACGCAGGGCTCTCCCAAGTTCCCACCGAGCCGAATAAAAAGCGTCCGCCCGCAGCTCTCCGCCAAAGACGGACATTGACTCCAGGTAAGGCGGCGCCGGGTAGAGCACCCTGCAGCCCCGCTGCCCTTGGACCCGGCCCCGGACCGCATTCGGGGCACCTCCCGCGCGCCCCGCCCCTCCCCCTCCCGGCACCCTCGTCCGATGGTCACCTGGCCACCCCGCCGCCTCCAAGTCTTCTCCGGCTCCAGGGAAGGGGTTCCTGCGCCCAGGGCTGGAAGGGTTAACTGCGGGTTGGAGTGAGTGGTGTGTGTGTCCCCGCGCGCTCCCGACGTGTGCACCATGGTGGGAACTTGGTGTGGTGCTAGTGTGAGTGTGCGTGTGCGGCGTCGTTTGCGTTTGATGCGTGTGTTTGTGGTGTGTGTGTGTGTATGGGAGGGGTGAAGAGAGAGAGGTTCTATAACCTACTTACGGCGCGATGTGTGTGTGCATGTTTGTACGTATGTGTTTGTATGTGTGCGCTTGTGTGTCTTTTTAATGAGATCTCTCCAGGTTACACGGAATGGGACCCCTTTACTATAAGATCACGTAGTCATCGGGAAACCCACTGTGGACTTCCTCTAGGGGCTCTGGGCTTGGGATTTAGGGAGAATTATGGGGCTGTATGTAGATGACACCTTATTTAGCCCAGCGTTGGTACCCTTGAAGGAAAATTCCTCCAAACGATGGAATCCTGCTACGCTGGGACCCACCGCTTAGTATGAAAGAGACATGGCCAAGCCCCGAGACAAATGAGACGCTGTCACTTTAAATTCCACACTGGGCAGACTCCAGGATTCTGATGGGAATTTGGAGACACTGGATAGTGGGTGACAGAGAAAGGGGGAAGTCGGTGTTGGGCTCCTTATCTGGGGATTGGCAAGTCTGGGATAGGGATCTACCCTGCCTCCCTCTTGGCAATCAACACAGCCCCTCAGGCTTCTGGTGCTTTGGGGGAGGATCTGGGCAAGTTTGCATGGATCCCCCTTAGGGAAAAGGAGAAAGCGTCCTCGGGGACTTGCTTATCCATCACAGATGCAAAGGGTCTCAGAGGAAATTTCATTTAAGGGCAGCTCTGGATGATATGGAAGGAGATGGATGGGGCACTTTCCTAAGATAGATTCATCTTTCCCCATTTCAGTCAGGGAAGCCCCCAGAGAATCTCTTCCTAAATATGCCTCTCCATGGCTCCACTGGAGTTAGAAGGATATTGGGAGAAGGCAGAGAGGTGGGGGGAGACAGAGAGAGAGAGAGAAAGAGAGAGAGAATTATTTCAGTACTGGGAGAGATCTACGATTTGAAAAGGGGCTGTGAGTGGGGAACCCATGACAGAATGTGGCAGTAATTGACTTAAATTGCTGTCGGTTTGCACATTGCATCTCTCACTTGGCACCAAAATACTGTCAAGGGCAGGTGGGCGGTGGAAGAATCTCAGCCAGAAAAGCAGTTTGGGTCAAGGCCCTCTTTCTTGTTTCCTCCACCTCCTGGGAGGCTCTCTAGGTAGGTCCCTCTGCCACCCTGCCTTGGTACTGTTGGGCTTGGGCTCTGGGGCCAGCCATTGATTTGATTCCCAGCTGCCTCTTAAAGGCTTGCCCTACTCAGCAAAAATGCTGAGTTTTACTGCTGTTAGCATGGCTTCCAGACTCGGCAGCTGTTACTTTCTCAAGGTAAGCGGCAGCCGTTCTGCTCTCAGGCAGGGAGGCTAGGAGAAGAAAAGGGCTGTGACACTGGGACACAGCTTCGCATTTAGCTCAGCTTGGAGGGGCCACTGAAAACCTTAGGGGAAAAAAGTAGAAATATACTTGGCGTAAAAAATTTACACATATATATTCTAGGAAAAAATCTATATATCTACATATATACACACGCATATATATGTGTGTATGTGTATATATATATATATATATATATATATATTTCTGGGGAGAGATAAAAGCGAACGTATTTGTAGGAACCTGCCCTGGTGGGTGGGTACTACCTGCAGGCACTTGCAGACATACCATTCTCTGTCCAGAGGCTGATACCTCAGGCTGAAGCCTTCACACAGCCACAGAAAATCTCCTTTAGGAAAATCATGTCAGAGCAGAGCTCCCTTGATTATCTTGGGTAGGAGGTATTAGGGCCTAGGAGGAGACCCCTTTTGGGGAACTGCCTCCTTTACTCTCTTTCCAAATTCGTAGACAATTGAAGCTGGAAGGAATGTTAAAGAGCAGAAAGACAGGACCCTGTGGCCTAAAGAGGGAATGAGAATTCCCCAACATTTGGTAGTGAGTTAGTGGCATGCCCAGGACTAGAATCTAGGCTTATCAGCTAGATCAATACCCTTTCTACTCTTCCCATACTGCCTGGGACTGTATACTGCTCACACCCCTGTGCTGCCACCCTGCCACCATGATCCCAAGCCAGACAATTGCTTGTCGTCCCTCATCAAACTTCATATTTTCAGAGCTGGATTTCAAGATTTTTCTATCTGGAAACATGACCCCAAAGAGAAAAGGTCCAATGCACGTGCACACACACACACACACACACACACACAGACACATGGGATGGTGGGGGCGGGGAAGAGAGACAGAGAGAGGGAGAGAAACATAGATTCCTTTTCCAGTATCTTTAGAGAATTACCCAGGTAAGGACTCAGTACTGACTATGACTAGTAGGCAGACCCCAGCAAAGTGTCTGGTCTGTATCTGAGCTTTTTATTAAGAAATGCACTGCTTTCTAGAGAGCAAAATGTACACCTATCCACCAATGCAAATGCTTCGGGCAAACTAATTTCTTTATATTAATTAGAATCTCACCCCTATACATTTCTACATGTTATAGGCACAGGAGCACATGCAAGCACACATGCATAGGTGTGCTTACACACATGTGGACACAAAGATCCAGAAACTTTTTCTACTTGCTACATTTCCAAAAAAGAGAACCTCCACACCAGATTGTGTTCTCTCATATAAAGCATCTCCCATGTGAAGACTAGGACTCACGAACTCCAGGGAAGGAGAAACGTAAAGCCCTGTGAAAGAGAGACCCTGGAGAAGTCAGAATTGAGTTCACTCAAAAGTGTGCTCTTAGACTTCTAGATAACTCTTTCGGGGTGCTGGCAAGTACTGAAAAACATGGGGGGTTTTAGGCCCATCCGCAATAGAGCCTTTTCCATGCAGGATTTTCCGGGGCTAGATGGCACTTTAGCTCCCAGAAGGGGGAGCTGTGACTCCATTTCAACCAAGGAGAAACGGCTCAGAGATTCCAAATCAGCTGTTGGGCCCCCGTTGAGTTTAGACGACCCAGCTGTGGCTGCAATGAATGCCTTTGCCTCTGGTACAGGCAGCGACTGTAAAAACACCCTACCCTGATCAGTTCAAATTCAACATCTCTTTCTTAGTGCATGCAAGAGTTTATGTTATTGATCATAAAGTCCTTTATTTTTCTGTAAAGGTCTTTGCCCAAAGGTCCTTCAGTTGTGCAATGAGACATCTTTTGCTTTGCAACCTCTCTCGTTCCTCCTCCCAATTTCTTAGAGGAAATCACCAGTACATTATCACTTGAACAGGCCATCAAGGTTAGACATACCCTACCCTTCTTTTCCTGCTTTTCCCTTGCTGAAATGCAGCTTAACAAATGGGCTGCTGAACTATTGGAAACCATGTTAAAGACAAGATGGAGGTCATGTGAAAAAGACAAGTCCCTACATGTCATTCTTCAAATAATTTCTCCAGTAGTGCTCCCTTCTGCAAAGACCATCTTTATTATTCTTTCCTCCATGTCCTGCATTTGGCCATGACTTTTAACAAAATTCTACCCATATTTCAACATCTAGCTCAAATGACCCTTCTAAGGAATCTTCTCAATACCTTATTTTGGAATTAATCTCTTTATCACTCGATGTTTGTGTACCATTTTATCTGAAACTCTATTTTAGTTTGTGTCTCCGTTTGCCCTGCTTTATAGCGCCTGGGGTATAGGTCTATCTTACCCTCTTCAGGATGGTCTAAGAAGCATCTTTATATTCCAGGGTCTGACACAGAGTAGTTGCTTTATAAATATTTGCCCTTGCATTTCATGTTGCATCTCAATAGCAGCTGTCCTCTCTCCGTCTCTCACACTTTCTAGCTGACAATTGCTTCATATTCATTTAAAGCAATACCGTTATGGCATTTTTGCCCATATCAAGAATATGACGATTCCAATGATAATACAGACAGATAAAAATTAGACCCTACTTGGAAGTGAACATTGACTTCCTGTAATCCAAGGTCTTTAGTTTTGTTCTCTCATATAGTCCTTCTTTCCTCTGAGTGGGGCAGATACGGCCCCTTTTACAGAAGAGGAAAATGAAGCCCTGGCTGGATAGACTCCTTGACCAAGGTCACACAACCATCACAGCTAGCATTTGAATCTGTCTTCTTTCCTGCATCATCACTGCTGTTTTCACTGGATCACTGAGTTAATGGTAACTGTTATGAATGACTGGCAACATTGGTTTGTTCAATAGATGCTAGGAATAGCTGGGACGTATTATGAACTCTTTGAAATGATGGTAGGAAGTTGTCATGGAGCCACTGGATCAAAGAAAACCTCTGAAGGTTTCTCAATAGCTAAACTTTTCTCCATTTTCAGGAATGACAAGTCCTTTTTGTGATGCCAATAATGCATGACCGTTCAGTCTCAGTTTTAGTACTTTTAGTGACAGCAAGTTCATTACCGCACAAACCAGCCTATGTCATATTTGAAGAGCTTTGTTGGAATATTTTCTTACTTTGCCCCTAAATCATCCTTCTATCCATGTGTCTCTGAAATTGTACAAGTGTAATTCACTTCCAGTTATCAGTTCTTCAAATATTATGAAAACGTAATTATTTCATAACTATTTTCTTTCAGAATAGAGGGAATTGTCTTCACAGCCCTGTCTTCTGTAGCCTCTGCTTGGAGGCCTCTTGGCACCCTCAATACTGTCCTAGGGGAATTGTCAAGTTTACCTCACTTTTAGGGCTTACATGCCACAACAAAAGGGAAGGATGACCTGAAATTGAGTGAGGATTTAT